TGTGTATTTTCAAATTCTAGCGCACTCAAGCTGGTTTCTCCAAAATTACCTACCCCACCTTTAAGCACTGGAAAAGATTTCTTAAAGCAAAATAAAAGTGGAATACTTTTGGTGAAAACCTTTTCATTTAACTGAGTGTGGACATCCAGAATTGAGGAAATAGCTCGCTGTAATGTGAGGCAGTCGGGTACATTAATGTTTAATTATACTATGTGGTGGAGTGGTGTAGGCAACAGTGGAACTGATAGCTGGGTGTCTGGTAACCTCAACAATCACCACTATAGTCTAATACCAAGTAGTGCTTGTCAAACCTGTAACGTCAAAGACCCCCTTTTAAAATTAAGCTCCTTTTCATTGATAATTAAGATTGTGTTATTCAAGCAGTGGATGTTGTGTAAATGTAATAGCTTTGGCAAAATTGATCTGTATGGCTCGTAAGCTGTTTAGGGAACCATATAGAAGATATATGCTTTTCGTGTTAAAAACAACCCTGTGTGATAAATGAACAGAAAACATACTTTGAACACAACAGACAACTAATCAGTCATGGTACGGCGTCACTACTTCCATTGCTGACTTTCATCTTTCCATTGACATGTGACTTATTGAAGACAGAGAAAGAGTTTGTTCTTTGACACAATATAACCTCTCATATACCAATTTCATTGACACTTTATATTTATAAGAAAACATTTACTTTCATTATGGCGTGAGAAACATAAGAGGCTAATTCAAAGTCCAAATAAGAACAAATTATTTTGTATTCATTATATTATAGATCTTTTATATGAACTCTGAGGAGTGATGATATTTTAATGCTGAAGAATGAACTATATCCTCAATGAACATCTCAAACTCTCAGAGCTAAATAGAAAACATGTAGCCAAGGAGCAAAATGTGACCAAATAAAAGTTGGCTTGGGTACAAAAAAGAGTAGATACAAAAGGAAGTCTTAAAGTGCTGTTTGGAGTCCTGTACTGTTCCAGCCTCCAGCGGTCTCATATGATTCCTGAGAGCAAACTTTCACAGTCATGAGTTTGCATGTTTTCCTGGCCTGCAGCAAGTTCCCAACAACAAGGCCTATGTGATTACAACTATAAATTGGAGACTGATATTGATGAGACTTTGGTCTTCCTACAGCACATATGTATGTGTCTTTTAAGGTTAGGCTAAAAGGGCTGATTATTTAATCTAAATGCTGTTTATTGTCCCATCTTCATGTGACAAATCGTGACAGTATGATGGTGTTCTAATCTGGATATGATGCTGTTAAACAAAAAGCCTGGGAAGCACATGCCGGGGCCTTAGAGAAAAATCTTGAAATGGGACACCGGCCTACAGGACACGTGGCGGCCAAGAGACAAATCTGTTTTACAGCAGATCTGTCTAAACTCTGGACCGCTCCTGGACCTCTACTCTCCCAGAGGAGCGGAGGATGGAGACCACACAGACAGCAACAGGGCGTCGAGTTTCACGAGGGAGACTGATGTTACATATCAAACAAACCAAACAGATCCTTAATCTAATTGTCTAACACTCACTCCTGCAGCCAAACATATCGAAATCAGATTCCCTCTCACTCCTCCAAAGTAATACATGATGCAATCACATTTCCCTCAATCTCTCTCATGATTCATGATGTGGCACGGTCTAAGTCTATATTCCATAATGTTGAAAGAGATCTTTATTTGTTATTCTAAATCCAGTGTCAGTTCAGTTCAAGAAGATGCACCATTTGTGCTCTGTTATATATTTGCTATTCAACCTTCCCTCAGCAAATCAAAGAAAACAATTGTTCCTATTGAAAGGCAGCTAGGGTCAACCAGAATCCAATCATATGATGTGTTACATATTTCTGTGTGCTAACCAGCCCAACAGTAGTTTGTTTGAGTACACATCTCTGACACATTTTGACTGAAACCAAAAACCCTGCAGGGCTCTGTCCTCAGCGGCTCGGTAGATTAGCCTGAGATATGAAGCCAACTGTGTGAAATGTATCAGCAGCACACTAAATCACTTTATAAATAAACAAGTGTTGACAGTCAATAATGTGTGACTTTGTGTCCCTCCTCTCCCCTCAGCGAGATTGTTATCTTTTCACATTAGCACATTTGTTAGGTTAGGTTGTTAGGTTGATTTGCTTTACTTTACCTGCAAATGTGTGTGTGCGTGTGTGTGCGTGTGTGTGTGTGTGAGAGAGAGAGTATGGCAGTCTAAATAGCCATGAAATGTTGAACATACATTCATGCTCCCCAGAGAATGTATTTAAAAGCTTTGTGACCAGATGTGTTTTCCTGAAATATCTCATCGTATCTCATCATCTTCAGGACAGATTGTTAGGAATTTCGACAGACATTCGTTGTTCCAAGAGGATGAATCTTAATGCATTCTGTGATTCTATGACTTTCCAGTAGATGGAAATATGTGGTGGATTGCCATGTTTTGATGATCCTCTGACATTTAATACATCAACAGGTATCCAGATATCCATTTGTTGTTATTTAAAAAACTAATGACATTCCCATCAGCCTCAACTGTTTATTCTTGTTAATTTCTTATAAATGCTCACATTAATATTTTTGAAATCTGTATTTTCATATTTTTTTCCAAACCCTAAAAGAGGTCCCTTTTTATTTTACTTGAACTGAAGCTTTGCATTTGTGAATAGACTCTCATCAGATATGTTTCCGTCGAATACATTTCCATAAACCCAACCGTTCTGCCAAACCTACAGTTATTTTATTGCAAAATATTAACCCAGACACTTTACATGCATGTCAGATGTTGAGCAAAGTTCAAATGGCACATTTGTTAGCATCATGAGGGGATCTCATATTCACCCCGTGCACCGCAGGGGGCTTCATTTTTCTCAAGAACAAAGGCTCCTATGAGGCCGATTTTGGCTGAGTCATCATGTTCCAAACAGGAATAACACTTTATCAGTGTGACATATTTGGATGTAATGTAGGTTTTTCTCTCACAAAACAATTTGTTCCATTTGCAAGCCCCTGCTGACAGACTGCAGTTCACATTTGACCTCGACAGACTGTCAATATTTCACTGAACCCCTGATGTGAGGGGTTTCATTTATTGGCCCAGGTGCAGACATAAGCGATCATAAAGATATCTAAAAAAATATTCCAAGCTCAAGCTGTTTAATATCTGCAGCAAGAAAACCTGCATGTTAACCTTCAACTGTGGAGTCTTAGCACAGTGATATGTTTACCAGGTGCCTCAAGCACATCTCTACCAACCATCCCTACCTGCAGCTACAGTTTGGAGCATGTTGACCCAGCAGCAGCAGCAGGCTTACATTGGTAAGCCTGCTATTTGAGCAAACAGAAAAAAAAGGAAAACAAGTTCAACACGACTGAATTAGTAAATCAAACAAGGGAAAAGTTGTTATTTGTTTAAGTCCTATAACTGTGCAGATGTGGGTTGAGTTTTTAAAAAAGTAATAAAATGCATGTTCAAAATTAGGCTATGTGTGTACTTAAAATGATGAACTATAATGCCTCTTGATTCCAGTAAAAGTCGCAGTTAAACAGCATGTTAGATAGTTGGCGTCATGAGATGGTTTCAAATGGATTGCAGGTGTTTGCAGCTCTGGCCTGATGATGGATCATAAAACTGTACTTTCCTCAAAACACACACCTTACGGTGATGGTCGGGGTTAAAGCTAGTATTGAAGTACACCCATGTATGCAGGCTCAGATTATTTTCATCATGGTGACCTTCCTCTTTCTCACTTCATCTCCCACCCTCATTATCGAGACACTACCTCCCCCTAGTGGAAAGAGATGGTAATGACTGGTCACTCTCTGTTGTGAGCAAATACTGCTGACACTTGTTAGGATGGTTTAGTAAAGTCTTAAACCTGAACAACACAAACCAATACAAAGCAGCGACACTGAAATCAAAGGGCATCATATATTATGACTTAATAATTGTTTTCACTGTGTTGCCAAAGTAGTCGGCAGCCTGGTAGTGAGCTCGTGGCCCTCTAATGGCTGACCTCCATATTGCAGGTGATCATGGGAAAGCTCTCTCTTGTGAGAGATTGTTATTGTATATGCACACAATATGTGTGTGATTGAATGCAAAAAAAGTAAGTAAACTACTTGACAAAAGCACTGTAGTGTACTTACCTCAAATAAGAAAGCAGTTCCACTAAGAGACATTAGACGGTTTCATTAAAAATGTATCTGCTGAGGCCAAAAAGGAGAGTTTGTCCAATATTTTTTAACACAACATTTTAATAAATTAATACAGCTTTGCATTGTCTTTTACTTGCCCCAATTCTTTATCTCACAATCCTTTGGAAGGGAGAACCACCATACTCAATCAACCAACTGTAAATTAAATATTAAAAACAAACGCTAGCTTGACGAGCAAGAACAGTAAAAACCTGTGTAAATATTGTTGCATGAGTAAAGACATAATAATGTCATGTATTTTACTGCATAATTTATATGTTTGGATAACACATTTTTGTACAGATAATTGTACTTGATATCTGTATTTTATTTCTTCCGCCACTACCGGTCATGTGTGTGACCGTTGTGTGCCACACACACACACACACACACACACACACACACACACACACACACACACACACACACACACACACACACACACACACACACACACACACACACACACACACACACACACACACACACACAGTGCTTTGGTGTAGGAAAATAACATAGAACACATTTCCTTTTCCAGTCTTGTATTATTCATATTGATGTTATTTACCAATATGTTATGTTGCCAAATATACAATATGAGTCTCATTATTCTTGTCCAGGAATGCTAAATATTCTGTTGCATGCAATATCATTGTTGACAAAATTGAACAATAAAGTTATTTATTTGGCAATTTCCTCCCATTCCATAGACACGCGCCTCATAAATAATTTTCTGTAACTGATTTTTTTCCATTTGGTTGTGTGATACTTTAAAAACACAGTGAGCAAGGACAAGTCTTATTCTTTTTACATTATAAATCATTTATTGAAATATAAATCATCTGAATGTACATGGTGTAACATAATGAAACACAGTATTAAATCGACATATTGGGTGTGATTACCTATAGTTACAGATACTGTACCGTCAACAACAAATCACTCACCTGCTGCACAAACATTCACATCCACACAGCTTTACACATCTAAAGCCAAAGCAAGACCTTTCTGAAGTACTTTTTTCTCGTTTTTTTTACTGCAACATCCAAAACAATATGGAAAAAGCAAAAAGTGCAACAAATGATTGCAGATTATATCACAGTCAACAGGAAGAGGCAAAGGCAGTGGCACAGCTGGTACAGTAGCTGGAAGATAGAGAGGATTACACAGTCTACACATAACTGATGTATAACATCAGATCAACATAAATCTCTAGTCCATCTAGTGTCTTATTATAACTAACCTGCTAATAGACGTCAGGACATTAGATAAAATATGAGACAGGAGGACACAGCTGCTAGTGAAGCTATTGGAGATATATATATATATTTTGCCGTGTTCATTGACATGATGAGCTGGGTTTCTCTTTGATTGCTTTAATTTTCCCTTTTTAAAATTATTTAAATTGATAACTCTCCATATCATACTTGAACACATTGGAAAATATGAATATTTGTAATATTTTCAGACTATATGATGCTATTTTAGCAAATGTTTCCATAGTTTTTCCTTTTATTAAGAGTGATATTTATTTTGTTTTAATGGATTCATCCAAACCATTGGCTCCACGGGGCTGAGTTTGGGTGCAGACGCTTAATATGTGCTTATATAAAATACTGTTTCCAAATAAGTCTCTCTTATAAAACAACTCTCGATCTATTTACAATACAATCACACTTCGTTTTGTTTTTCAAAGCCCATATGACACATATGACTGAAGTCCTTATCAGGGATGATGATCATTATTTGAGAACATTATGTTGTATTTGGGCAAAAGATGAGACACCGCAAAGATGCATGTACTCAAAAGCTCTATTCTCATAACCATTCAAACAGCTATGGTCAACATCTACTCGTTATTCACAAATAATACATGTTTACATAATGATGAGGTACAAAAATAAATTTGAATTACCGCACATATTGAAAAAAGAATATAGTCATGTACAAAAAACAATGTCCAGATTTTGTGCTTTCAAATCTGAGTTTTGCTACCGATTGTGCCAGCATCAGGTGCTTATCTTGTAGTGAGTGAGTGTGAAGTCAGTTTACCTGCCAATGCTGTTGCTAGTATTGGACTCGTTTATTTTAGTGCATCAGTAGTGGTTAAATATATCCTATTGAACGATATATCCTGTGGTGTTCATTTAGAGTTGCTGTCCATTTTGTTGAAATCGTCCCTTCTTGCTTATATTGCTGTTCAGAGAATGCCCGAGAATAAAGCTCTGCTAACTAAAAACACAATCTTTTTTTATCTAGATATGTCCAACACACAGGCTCGGTGGTTCTTTGAGTCCTTGATGTCATGTTCTCATTAATGCTCGCTCACTCCTCCAGCCCAACAGGGGGCAGTGTCCAGGGAGAAGTAAAGCGCGTACCGTGCTGTCACCACAGACTCATCCAAACAGTGAAGTGGTTTTTTCTGTCCTCTGAACGGGCGGTCAGGGAGAAGGAATGGAGGGGATAGAGGGTCACCAGCCAGTCTTTAGTTGATTTAGTGTTTCTCTAGTTTCCTGTGTCCTAACACCCGTTTTCTTGCTGCTTCTACTCCACAGGCTGGGTAGTTGTCACAGGAAGCTATCCTCCCCCAGGTCACTACAGTCCAGACACATCTCATCCAGCAGCGTGATGTCCTCCAGAGTCTCACCCTCGCGCTTAGCATAAGTAGAGATGCTGGAGCCCGTCTCAATGGCGCTCTCGTCGGAGGTCTGAGAGCTGCAGGAGACACGGAAAACTCAGGTTAGCGTCTTCTGTGGTGAATATGGGTTGTCAAATCTAAGACTGGGGACCTCCCCTCAGACAAAGCTTTAAAAAAGCCAAACCCTCCTATTAGTTTACTTGTTTAGGTTCGCTCAACTCCTGCATGCCTATAGGATCATGATTGAGTTATGATCCAATAGACACTCAACGAATTAGCCAGGATAGCATAACACTGTCTATCAAAACAACTTCAGATTACATTAAAGTTCTATCTTAAGGCTTTTATTAGTTTCTGACTTTGCAAAATTCCCCCAAAACACTAGATTCCTGAAGTAAATCTTATACCAAATGACAAAAAGGAAGGCTATTCTACAGTACGTGATCTTCTTTTCATTACTACTGTTAATTCACTGAGCCTTCACTGAAACTGTTTGCAGCTCAGCCTCCCACTTTAAGAAACCTCTAAAATAGACAACACAGAGTATCGGAGGTAAATGTTTGGTTCTATTTACCCGTGTCTGTTCCTCTTGCCATATTCATCGTCAGATAAGGGGTCCAGGTCTGGCAGGGGGATGATGTAGCCGCTGTCAGAGCTCAGCCGCTGCTCATCGAAGCCGCTTTCCCTGTCCTTCAGCTTGCCCTGGCTCTTTTGGGTGATGCCGATGTAGGCGTCGTCGTTTTCCACGCAAACCCGAGTCACAGCGGGGTGGTCGCTCTTCAGGAAGTCATGGTTCACCCTCTCATAATGCTGCAAAGAAAGACAGACGAACATTATTATTAAATGCTTAATATAATGCAAATGCACATTTTAGACAAGGCACAATGTCTTAGGAGATCTGATGTATTAGTGTGATCACTGGTTGTGTTGGCAGATGGGTGGTGGTGCGTTAAAACACACATGCTATTTATCCCCCAGGTGCTAGAGCGAGCGTCAGTTCCTCCTCTGCCCCCCCAAAAATGAACTCTGTAGAGGCAGAAGTGAAGCTGTGTTCATGTGCGGTGTGCAGTTTAAGGGGGAAAATGAAGGTCGGGTGGTGGAGGAGAGAGCTGGAGCTGCGTCATTACCCGGTCTGAGGGCAGCCGCTCTGACATCCAGCTGCTGCTTTTGCACTCTAATCACTCGTAGGTTGGTGTTTTACAGAAAAACACAGAGCCCACAGAAACACTCCGAATGCACTCTCAGGGGAAGTGGAAGGGAAATGACCAACCGGCTACTTAAAGAGTGCATTTTAATTGTGTTTAACCTGTACTTACTTTGCAATGTGAATCAAAACAAAAGCATGGAGGAGGATGTTTAAAAAAACATATCAGCCATAAAATGCCCAAAAAAAGAGAGGAACATAATGTGTAGCATAACTAAAAAGCAGGTGTTAAGAATTCAAAGAGGTCGGAGGATGTGAGAGGTCACGTGAGACTCACCTTCTTGTAGTTGGAGGGCAGCAAAGTGGAAACAGTTTCACTCAGACCCAGGAAAGTCGGCCTCTTCTCCGGCTCGCTGTTCCAGCACTTCATCATCATCTCATACCTAAAAAAAAACAGGCAATGTTAACATAGAGAACAGTACAACCTGTCCTTCACCTAGTAATTTAGCCATGACTCATATCAGCCACTGTTTATCACGCATTCCTCATATATCAGGATGTCAGGGAGGCTTCATGTCATGCACAGCAACAGTACAGTCATCGTGTGAATTATAGCGTACACGTCATCAGGTGCGTGCTCTGGTTTGGACATCCTGAATCCACTCTTGATCTTGTTGTAGAAGCTTGAATCCACGACCATCCCTGGGTATGGGGTGCCACCTTCAGACCAAAACAGATTCTCATGAGTTTCTCATCCTACTTCAACAGTGTCAAGGATTTTTTTTTCTTTCATAGATGTTTGCAGGGGGCTTACCTAAGGAGAATATCTCCCAGAGCAGGATGCCGTATGACCAAACATCGCTGAGACTGGTGTACATGTTGTCAAAAATACTCTCTGGCGCCATCCACTTCACTGGCAGGAAAGTCTGTGTGATGAAGGAGAGGAAATGTTCAATTACGTTGGCAAAACCTTTATGGAAAAATATAATAAAGCTATGTTTAAGTGATATTCATGAGACTTACACTCCCTTTGGAGACATAGTTGTTGTCATGCATGATGTCTCGGGCCAGTCCGAAGTCACAGATCTTCACTATCTTGCCCTGAGAGAGGAGGACATTCCTGGCAGCGAGGTCCCGATGCACACACTGCAAAAAGAAAAAGCAAAGGTGAGTAGCAGCTCATGATCATACACATTGTTTTCAAGCCTCAATTTCCACAAGTCCAAACACATTTCGCTCCCAAGGCTCCCGACTGTGGGTTTGAATTCATCCGAGTTTCATATTTCTTTATAAAGCATGGTCTTTGTGTAAACATGCCAGTAGGAGGGATGGCTGTGACCACTGGATATTTAGGGATAATAACTATGAAGCTGAATGACTAGCTTCTGGCCGCCCGGTAATTCTAGCCCTAGCTGTGCTGCTACTATATTCAGCCCCTGGCCTCTCTCCTGAGTGGGCTCAGCAGCCTTCACCAGACTGCTTATCATACAGCTGCTGATTGTCTCTGTCCCCCTTTTGGCCAGCACCGCTGTCCCATTTTAGGACACAAAATCCACAACCAGTGGGAAGCAGGGGCATGTGAGGCTGCAGGGTATATGAGGTTTGCAAACCTCAACTATACAAATGTAGAGGATACAAAAACAACATTTTCATTCATTTTTCCCTCTGTGGACAAGACGTACATTTTTGGAAGACAGGAACTCCATGCCTTTGGCCACTTGGTAAGTAAAACTGAGCAGATCTGTGGTGGTGAGGCCCTCGTTAATGTCCTCTGACATCAGGTCGTCCATCTCGCCCTCTGGTTTAGAAGACACACACAGAAAACACCATGAGTATATGTTCATCATGTATTGTAAATATAGTACTGGCTGCTCAAACACTGGTTTTACTAATGGCAGGGAGAAACCGGGCATTATTATGTGTGTGCTACAATTATCCTCTCCATATAATTACAGGGTTGTACCAGTCCTAAATTCTGACAAGGGAGTACCCCTTAACCAACACAGACTCAAACACAGCCGTAAAGTCAAGTGAGTACACAGAGTGGAGAGAGTGAAAGGAGGACAGGGAGAAACTGTGTATGCGTACCTTTCTGAGAGGGAGGGTGGTCATAGTCAGATTTCTGGATGTCTGAGTACTTAGAGGCATTGTTCATCTCCAGCATGGGAACATACTGAGTGTTGTCACTCTGCTTCATATCCATGTAGTCTCCTTTGCTCTCAAAGGACAGAATCACATAGCTGTGTGCAAAGATAAAAGAGAAATAAATGCGGTTAGTGATGAGGCGAGGACATGCTGTGGGAACATTGAACCACATGAAGCAAATAGTGATAAAACATTGTGTTTTTCAGCCCTCTATTGTGTGTTTGTCAATGTGTGTGTGCGCCCTTAAATCCTCTCCCTCCCTCTGGCTAGATTTAGAAGAAGATGTGGTTGAGCCTAACATGGTAGCTGGGATTAAATCATGTTATGGTCAATTCGAGGTGTGGTCACTGTGAGTCATCCATCAACACAGATGAGCCTCGGAGGGAAATGGAGGGCTGCAGTTTCACCATGAACGTCTGAGCGAACAGAATTAACAGGTACCCCCATTACAATGAAATTAGGTTGAAAGCCGAGACCACTTCAGACTGCGATTTGATTAGGTGAAGACGCCAGACAATCCTCAACCATGGAGAAAATGGCGATAGAGTTACCGATTAAGGGGCAGGGGAGAGAATTAGTGTGTGAGAGACGATTGTGCAAATTGTTGTGACGATGGCTGTAATATTCGGGAGTGGCTAAGGGGGAGTGAAATGATGTAAAAAGTGTCATTTGTGTGTCTATTATTTCATATTTTCCAAACACAACAAGTGTCTGAATCACAAGGATAATTCCAGAAATAAATAGTGCATTTGTAACTGCATGCATGCAAACTGTGAAAGGTATAATCGTTACCTCCTGCTGCTCTCATCCACTGGGTTGATTCCAAAGATATCCATCTCTTTTTTACTTTTCTCTGGGTTCAGGCTGATGAAGTTCTCCCTGTTCTTGTGCAGATGGTTGACCAAGTCCCCGTAGAAGCAGTATTCAGTGATAATGTAGATAGGGCCTGGGAACAAAACAGCAGATAAAGTCATGCATCGGCGTCAGTCTGCAGGCTAATCTTATCAGAGGCTCGTAAATGCTAAAAGCACAGTCAAGAGGGCAAGCCTCCACTCTCCCATAAAAAGCCTATTAAAATACCACACCCACCAAGAGAGGAGACAAGGCTGTCAATCCTTTTGGCTGTTAGAGCTGTAAATGTGTACAAATTCCAAATCGGTATGACTGACTGTGTGTGAATGCAGGTTTAGGCAGCATGTGGGTGTTTTTTTATTGAAAGCTGTGATTAAATTGCAAGAGAAAGGCAACAATGGTTAACCTGACAGTTAGTATACAGTATGTGTTTGCCAATGAAGGAGTGTGTGTGTCTTTATCATTCCAATGTAGGTGTGTATTATTCACCTGACTTGGTGCACGCTCCCAGGAGGTTAACAATGTTGAGATGTGGTCCAAGATGAGTCATGATCTTCAGTTCAGACATCAGGGCCTGTTTCTCACTGGAGCGGGCCGTGGCTGAAAGAAGGCACAGCAACCGTGACTATCATCACACAACATCAGACCATCAAACAAACCTCATTCAGCCAAGACTTCTATCATTAGCTTCATCTTTGTGTAGAAAATGCCTGTACAGTTGTGCATGTCTTTCTTTCTATCACTATTTTCCCATCTCTACTGTTGCCCCTACAGGTACAGAGTCCTGCATAAGATTGTAAAACCAGCTACAAGGGGTGGCGTTGCTACATGTTGGTATTACATGTTAGCAGGCCTAATAGTTTGTGCCACTGACGGTGTTATTATTGCAGTGTTTTATAAGCTTATTCATTTGTCACAGGAGTTGTCATGCTCTCTAACCTGTCCACCCCCTTGTTTGGCAATTAGACGTCATAAAACAATGCCAAAATGTTTGCAATATACTTGAAATTGAAGAAAACTACGCCTTACAGTTTCATGTGTAGTATATTTAAGTTGCAGAAGTAACAATTCCCCAACTAATGACCTTTACTGGTTTAAAGAAACATATCAGATGACTGGTAGCATCATAGCTTAAATGTTCTGTAGATGTACTCAAATTGTAATCTGTTAAACTCACGTTTCAGCATTTTCACTGCCACCTTCATGACAGGTTGGGAGCGGCTGAGTCCGTAAGCAGTGCCCTCGACCACCTTCCCAAAGGCTCCAGAGCCAAGGATACGACCTGAGGAAAACACAACAGCAATGGAATCGATTAATAATAACGAAAAGCAACAAATATCCTGCATAAAACACAGTCATGCAAACACAGCTGAGAACTTCAGAGGTCTCTGCTTTCTCTACTGTGACTCTTTCAGTGGCCGAATGTCCCCTTGATCACCGAGTCAAAGCAAACTCCAGCCAGAAAACCCCTTCTGCCCGAGTGAGATAAGCTCATGGCAGCCTCACTTCAAAGACAGAGTGAGGCATCGTGGCCAGAACATCCCTGCATGGTGGCCACAGAGCCACTGAGACAAGGATACAGCTTTTAGCACATTGTAAATAACAGTCGGCTTACCGAGCACAAGTCTGTCACGGGGGAATTCCCATCTGGAGTCGTAGGGAAGCTGCATGGGATCCACATAGATGTACTCATGGCCGTCTGGGCTCACAGACTCTATGACCCTCCAGCGGATCTCATACCGTGGTTTCTGTAAGACAAAACACAGATAAGGTTAAAACTCTTGATGTGCTTCTTCCGGATTTTGGGACATTTTTCAATTTTCAGCAATTTTCTCCTAGCCTTGCAAACTCTGCCTCTAAATTGTATTTAATTTATGAGCTCAAGATACTTTTACTCTGGATAGTATTGTTGTTATTGTGTGGATAGTTCCTAAACATTGTTAGTTGTCATAAACCACAATCATCATGTATTTTAAGATTGCGGTCTGTATCTGAAAACATGAATCAGCAAACAAAGGCTTGATTTTGCAAAGTTACCAAAATACATAAACATGTGGGAGAGTAGAAGCATAGATGTGAGAGGGAATATGCGAGAATGAATGCAGAATGGTGCTAACAGTACCTGTTTCCAGATAATAACCAAGACAATGAGTGAGATGATGACAATGACCAGGAGCACCAGCACAGCAGCAGCTACAGTCAGCTCTGGGTGAGGGCCTGTTCGGGAGGAGAGCCAGCGGGCACACATGTTAGATGGAGATCACATTCAACACATGGATCTAACATGTGTCCGGTGTCATGACAACATGAAATGCTTGCAATTAGGTCTGGGCAATACATAGATATTATATCGATATGTGTGTATGATATGTTATTAGTTGTTGGTTATCGTCATGTTGCATATGTGTCTTTTCCTATTTGAAATGCTGCATTACAGTAACCAGACTATTAAATAATTTGCCTTGCCACTCAGTCATTATATCCAAATTAATGTTGATTATTTATCAAAATCTCATTGTGTAAATACTTTGGCATAGATATAGATATAACACAAATATTGTGATACTTCCTTTTGTGTTCCGCTTGTTGCATGATAAAGATCTTCTGTCAGGCCTCTAAAACTAATAGATCCATCGGCTGTAACAGGACCAAAAGGTATGCTGGTAAGATAACAGGGAAGGTGGGGGAGGAGTGCAGGCACTTAGGCTGAGAAGGAGCAGGCGTATGGGGTAGGGGGTGAGTGTGGGGGTGTAAAGCTCATCTGGTCGGACCAAATGCCCAAATGATCACTTGCTTAGCTGTCAGAAAAAGGCCCCTTCCTCACGGTTAAAGCACAGCCCCCTATCAGCTGTCTCACCACAAACTCATCATGTGACAGCTGCTGTAACACTGACAGCACTAAGCCGGCACTGAACACAGGCACTCACACAGCCTCTCGCACTATGAGTGTCGGGACTGGAAGGAACATCAGAGGAACCAAGGTGGAAACAACAACCTCACAGGTCCATTTAAAAGCTGATTTGAGTGGAAAAGGGAAACCAACACAACCATGTGTGTGTGTTCTTACAACAACCAGCCATAAAACAATGGGTCCCAGGGCTGTTCTCTAAAGCTGCACCCAAACCTTGGAACTCACTCTTTACAGAATACAAATCTGATCAAAAAAAATATTTTTTAACTAAAGCTTACTCAATTGAACTGCTCCAACTACACTAGCTGCTCTATTGCTCATTGAATGTCTTATTGCTCACTTTGTTGATGTTTTCATTAGTTGTCTTTTGTTACGCGTTGTATGTTGTATTGGTGACCTTGTGTAACGTAAGGTATGTTATGACTGTGACTGCCATGAAAAGGGTTGTTACATTAAAGGTATTATTACCATTGGACACCAGTTTGACCTCCCTGCTGACGGTGGCCATTTCGTTCCTGGCGAGGCAGCGCACCGCCAGCGTGCTTTCCAGATGACCAAACATGACTTGACTCTCCAGGTTATTTTCCTCGTTAAAGCGCGAATCCATTGTGATCCCCGTGGAGTTGGCGGGGAGGGGCACCCAGGAAGACGAGTCATTGGCACAGCTTAATGTAAAAAACAGAAGACAGATATATTATTAATTTAGAGACGAGTGACTTCATGTATCTGGAATAAAAGTTATTTCTGTTGGCTGACGAGCAGAAGATTATTGCACTAAAGAAGACTTACTGTTTGATGTTCTTGCAGACGAACCACTCCACCACAGGAGTGGGCTGCCCTCTGGTTATGCACACCACAGCCTGGCCTTTGGCTGAGCCATGGTGGATGTCCATCAGGTCCAGAATAACTGCAGGAACTGTAACATAGTCCGACAGAGTGTGTGTAAATATGTGAGGAAAAGACAAACTGTAACTGGGCCAAAAGGTTGTGACAGCGGTATCTAAGAACATAAAGGTCATTTGGGGCATTCCTCTCTCTTACCTTTGACCTCCAGGTTTAACCCGACGTCACGAACATGTTCTCCATTTTCCACTCGGATGGTGTAGTTCCCGCTGTCCTCCTCTTTGGCCCGGATCAGGGTAAGAACACTCAAGTAGCTAAACAGAGCAACAAAAAACGAAACTGCAATAAACACACAGTAATAGAAGTTCATTATCGCACTAAACCCTAATGACAGGCCTGGTTAATGTGAGCTTGTCATTACACTCACCTGGTCTCGCTGAGCTGCCGGAGGCTGGTGGTGATCTCCGCCGTCACGTCGCTCAGTGGAATGCCGTCCTTCAGCCAGGTGACATGCGCACTGGGGAAAGCACTGATTTCAGCCCTGAACTCCCGAACCTCATCCAGCTCTGCCGATTCATATTCCCCGAACTCCGGTGTGATGGACAAAAACCTACTTGCTGTTCGAAAAGAGGAGAGGCCAACAATCAGTAATAGTTCATCACCACAGGAAAGAGACACATTTATTAGATAATGCCAAGTAAACATAATAAAGATTTCATACCAAAAACTCGAATGGCTAGTTCCTTTATCTGGCTGTCGTTACTGATGATATCAGTGATGGAGCAGGAGTAGATGCCGTTGTCCTTGATTGAGGCCTTTTGGATTGTCAGGGTGTAAAGAATCTCCTGATCCCTCTTGTTCTCATGCACTGTCTTGATAGCACGATTAGTCTGTTTAAACGATAAGGAACATCAGCAGATTTTAGTTTTTTGAATAGGCCTTTTAGGATCACTTATTTTGCACTGCATAGGATGACCTTTGCTCTCACCAGTATTCCAGGGTATTTCCAGTGGTCTTCCAGAATCTCAGATCCCCTAGCCAGACAGTTCACTGTGATGGTTTCTCCCACAAGCAGAGCAGTGCGTTTGGCTGTCAGCTCAACATGCAGTGCAGCGCCACCTGAGATACAACAATATGCCAGGGCAAAATGTGTGAGGGCACAGATCCACACGAGAAAACACAGAGCAGAATTTCAAAGGTAGGTCAGATTTTAAAAGTAGTTTTGACTTTACACACATTTACTTGCAAAGATGTATAGTTCACACACACACACACACACACACACACACACACACACACACACACACACACACACACACACACACACACACACACACACACACACACACACACACACACACACACACACACACACACACACACACACACACACACACACACACACACACACACACACACACACACACACACACACACACACACACACACACACACACACACACACACACACACACACACACACACACACACACACACACACACACACACACACACACACACACACACACACACACACACACACACACACACCACACACACACACACACACACACACACACACACACACACACACACACACACACACACACACACACACACACACACACACACACACACCTTTCCAGCCTTGTACGATGTATTCCTCGCTGTCGTGTTCCTCTCCGTTTACTAGAGCCTTACAGACGTAGGTACCAGCAGTGAATACTCCCAAAGCGCCCCTCTTGCTGTCATAAAAGCTGGGCACAGGTAGCTGGGTGTCAACGTTAACCAGGGTCACGTTAGTACTGGGATCAGACACCCTGCATTGAATCTCCATCTCCTCTTGGTCCGACAGCACATGGTTGCCAAAAGGAACCGAGGAGGGCACAAAGGGAACGTCTGGATCTGTTTTGGAGTAAAAAAAAAAGTTAATAAACCAAATCCAAGTCAATAAAGTCAAATTATAAAAACACACACGCTCATATCTGCTGTGTACCTGGCACATAGATGTAGATGCTGCTGTCCTCTGTGTCCTCAGTGGTATTTCTGGTGTAGAAGCAGGTGTAGTAGCCAGTGTGCATTGCACTGGCGTTGTCCACAGTGATGGTGGTGACAAAAAGGCCGCTGTTGTCCTCTTGTGTTTGCTCGTGCACATCCAGCGGCGTATCCCAGGCTAGTTTTGCCTCTCCCCGACAGGTCAAGGTGAAAGGAGTGTGGAGGGGCACCACCATCTCCTCCACCTGTGGCAGCAGCACAGGGCCCGAGGATGGTGGGAACATCATTGCAGTGGGAGCTGTCGGAAAGTAAAGTAACATGTAAATTACTCACTCATAGATCATAAATCAATCTATCAATCTATCAATCTATCAATCTATCAATCTATCAATCTATCAATCTATCTATCTATCTATCTATCTATCTATCTATCTATCTTACCTTTCACTTTGAGGGTAAAGGAGAAGTGAGCAGTGCGAGAGCCACTGATGGCTGTGATGGTATAATTCCCGTTGTCTTTCACCAAAGGCTGCCGTAATGTCAGAATGCTTTGATACCTGTGAGAAGAAAATAAAAGCACATATTAAGCTCATTGATTTTTGTATGCTTTAAAAGTGTTAAAATTACACATTGTAGTTTTATAGGAGGTTATGTATTGGACTATTCCTTTAGGAAGTTACTGCTCGTAGTTAGAAATAGTCCCCTGTACATTGGTGAATGAAATTGTAGCAGAACAAACATGAGCATGTTGACTGGTGAGCTTTGCTGGTAGACAGGTTATGTGTCCTTTAGACAGAGCTATTGGTTTCCCTGTTTTCAGTTTTAGATTAGTTAGATTTTAGATTAGCATAAAATAAATGCTAATGTTGAAAATAAATGTATTTTCAAAGATGTCATACTAGTTCTGGAACTGTATACCAGCTGTGATAACTAAAATGTTAAAGCCTCATCCATTGATCTTTCAATATATCGCAAAACATTAACATTATATCTCACCGATTTCCTTCGAGGTGGCTTGTTTTGGTGAAGATGTAGTAGGTCTGTGGCATGGCTTTGCCGTCTTTCAGCCACGACACTTTAGGGTTTGGGTAGGCATTAATGAGGATGGTATACTCTGTCTCCTCTAAGAGGCTGACAAATTCTGATGTTTGAATCCCGCTGTGATCCACTGCCACAAAGAAGTTTTCTTCTGAAGAGAGAAACAGGAAATAAGCAAACAAAAAGGGTGATTAAAATGGGTTAAGTCTAGGATTCAGTGACTAAAAAAACAGCAGGACAGCGCAGTGAGGATTGAGATGTAGGTGGAGAGACAGAAAGGTAAAATGAAGGCCTGCTGCTTGACACACATCTGCTGGAGCCATCCCATAAAACATAGTAGCTGATGTTGAAAGCAGAGGTGAATCTTTACGGTCGGATGGCAGAAAATTACTTCCACACAGCACAAAGAGCACCATGTGCACATATGTAAGGCCAGGGCAAAAGTATCTGAATGATGATGATATAACATTAAGTGGATGTAAGAAAGCGGTGTGATCACATATTAACAGTTCCCTGAAACATATTAAAATGTATTCTGAATAGACAAAGACTTACCAAAGACAGTGACAGCCACACTGCTGACTCTGACCTCGCCGCTGATGATGTGGGTGACGGAGCACTCGTAGCTGCCGCTGTCCTGAGAGGTGGCTTTTGGGATACTGAGGGTGTAGATGACCCCGTCAAGAGAGGTTTCTTTTATCTGAACTGCACCCATAGCCTATTAAAAGCAGAAGAATAATATAGATTTGAGATCCTACTCATCGGAACAAAACATATATCTGAGTTATAGGATATTTCAAAGTTTTATCTGTCAGTGTTCTTCCGTTTAACAGGTACAATGTATGAGAACTGGTGCACACGTCGTGCTGCTGGAGGCTAATGGTTAAAACACTTGCTAGGCCACAGGAGATAAATCAGGATCACAGGGTCTTTTAAAAGTCTGTAATTGCAACTGAGAACAAAACCAGGAGTCAAGACTCCAGCGGTCCTACCCTCACCGTCTCTGGAAAAGGGCTTAAAGGAATCCCACGTAGAATAACAGACAACGTGTTCTATAGATTAAGAATGTGAATATAAATATAAACAAAACTAAAAAGCATATGAAACTCTTTCATATCCTTTCAGCTAACACTTCAAAATCATTAAATGTTAAGCTGGCTGTCATGTGCAGACAACATCTGTCCTACGAGTATTTAGGTTACTGGGGTCAAAGGATTTACTATCCTGTTTTTCCTTCTTTTGAACTGCCTGCTCCCCTCAGGCCATTTGTCCTGAAATTCCTGTTAGCATCTTGCATAAATTGGGTTAACTGCAGAAAAAGCCGTTTGGCCTACGTCCTCATAATGAAGACACAACATTCAGTCGCTGCTTTCCTAACACATACTTTGTAACCACTAAGGGCCATTCTCAGAGCTATATTTCACTTGCCACTGCTGAAGTAGGTTTAGGTCCAAAACCATTATTCACTCATTTGGCTCAGTGCTGCCGCATAGGAAATTACATGGACATATGACAAAGGGTTGAAGGAAAAAGGACAAGAAGGCTGGGAAGTTCAAGCTGATTATGGATGAAGCCATATTGGAGACTACATTGAAAAAACATTAAAAAAAAACACAGAGAGGAAATGGGCTGCATCTTGCCTGTTTTTTGGGATGGAGCCACTGCTGCTGAAAGTCCTGTCCAATGGGAGCGACACACGTGATGTTAAAGGACTGCCCTGCTCTCACCGTCTCCTCACTGGCCTTCACTTCCACGTCGAAATTGTCCATCTCAGCAGGGACTAGAGGAACCACCAGAGAGCAGATATCAGCAATGTCATCTCACAGGTCCCAAGATAGTGACAACCTGATAACCATGAGCTCATTTATCACCGAGTGGTGGCTCAGTAGGTCGTCATTACTCACTTACTCACACTTAGAGTGAAAACAGACGTGTTAAATCATCTCCCTCTGTGATAATGACATAATGTCATGGCAGTCATGCAGTGAGATCACCATGCAGCGCTCTCATGGTAAACACAATCGAGAAGTGATTCCAGCTGTGCAGTTTCTTAATCATTATCCTGTTACTTAAAGTGATTCTTAATGCAAAAAAATCTGAAGAATTTAAGAAAATGTTAAACCACAACTATGAAATTTCCCTTTTTTCCGCATTCTAAGGTCTATAAATGCGTAGTTGTCTCAACATACCCTCAGTCTCCACAGTGTAAATAACACTTCTGATAGAGTGGCCGTTCACTGAGGTTTCACACTGGTACTGCCCAGGCGAGAGACTTCCAAAGAAGCCCATTTTGTGGTCATAGAAGGCAGACATGTCCTCTCCACTGGGGACACTCCTCAGGGTGACATGGGAGTTGGGGTCTGACACACGGCAGGAGATGGGGACCCCATGTGTCTCCATTGGAACTACCAAGTTTTCAGGGGTTTCTGGGACGAAGGGAGCCTGGGCATCTGGATGTGAAACAAAAGTTATGAGATTTGGGTGCAAATGTATATTTGTGATCAAATCATCTACTTAATTTAAGCAACAGTGGTCCCTGTGTCTCACTTTAAATGTCCATATTATGCACAGCCATTAAAGTTGGCACCAGATGTACAAAAAAAAAATGTCATTCACCTGGGACGAAGACATATATTCCGGCCTCATTGTCATCTTCCGGTTCGTCCTCCAGGTCACCCTCCTGTGTTTGATAGGTGCACATGTAGTAGCCGGTGTTTTCTACAGTTGCGTTGAAAATGAAAAGTGTCGCCGTGTAGTATCCCGGGTAAACGAAGGTGTTTTTCGGCAGGGGTTCAGCCCAAACGACGTTTCTTTTACCGGTACAGCTTATGTTGAACACGGAATTGGGCTGCAGGACGAACTCTTCTTCGTTGGAAACAATGGTAGGTGGCGACAGTCCGGAAGTAACTGAAAGATAGTTTTGAAAACATTTAGAGAAACTTTCAAAACATGTGAAAAACAGCAATGTTATGCATAGGGCTACTACTGTATGTTTACCTGAAACCAGTAGGCCTACCACCAGCATACCCCCAAAGACGAGAGAGGCCTTTACCCCATCCATGACTATGGATGTGCTGGCCTGTAAAGACAGAAAGCGAATTATTTAGTCAACAAGTAAAGCAAACATATCTGGGTTTATGCGTTTATTCCTGATAAAACGTGATAACATTGTGTCCACATTCTAAACAATTATACAATATTACGATTAAATCAATAAATCCATTGGCTTATTGACTTCTTAATGCCCCGTGAAGCAAAGCCGTGCAGTAACACTGACTCCTTGCCGCTATCATGCCTCTGCTATAATAAACCCACAGAGATTTATAGAGGGATTTGTGGAACTTGGCAGCGAAACTTGTGGTCTCCCACCTCATTTCAGTACTGACAAAAGTTACACTGTTACATTTATCACGGGGCTACATTAATTATTTTTCGTAAGATGAGGGTGAAGATAACAAGACTGTAAATTCCAATGCGTCAGGACTCATGATGTTGGATATGTTACAGAGGTAAGTCGGTTCTGGCTGCTGCGCTCGTGCTGAACATGGGGACCGCCGCTAGAGGGCGACACAGTCCAGCTTTTGAGGGCACTGAGCCTCTTTGAATCTCATTATATCCAGTTTGTTCGGACGCCTTTCTAAAGTTGTATTTTTTTCGTCTCATTGAAGAAAATGTCATTTTTATTGCTTTGACTAAAACCGTTTTTGTTTTTTAAACTAATATGCAGTTATGAATGTCCTTTTATTGTTTAATTTGAGTTATTAAGACATTATCAAGTTTAGTCAGATTTATTAACTAATTTCAGATATCTTCTCAGGCTTAGTTTTGTCAAGAATTCCTGCAGCGGATATAACCTTGTCTATGTATGTCTGTCTGTCTGTCTGCCTGCCTGCCTGTCTGTCTGTTTTCCATTATGTCTGTCTGATCTAGAATCAGGGGCCACACAGTTTGAGAGGCGCTCACAAAAAATACTTCTTCTAAACATTATCTGTTCTTCTCCAATTCCAAAACAAACCACCTCTGCTTTGTAAGTTATTTAACATTTATTAGCTTTACATTTCTGATTGTGTCCATTCCTTTTCAGGGGACCTTTGTGGATATTCTGTATCGTCCATGGACAATGTCACCAAACAATAAAAACCGTTTGGCCCTTGCATAGTTTCCTGTGGCTTTGCGCTCTGGTTCGTTCTAACCGGCCTAAATTATGCAACCTGGGTTTCTTTAACTCTATAATTAGCGGACGCAACTCGCACAAAAGTACATATCCGCGTGGGAATAGCTGACAAAAAGCCTAATGCTTGTTGACGTGTTTGTGCACACGCCTTGTCTCAAACAATTTCAATAAAGGAATTTTGCGTTGGCTTTGGCGAGGATCCTGCAGCCACTGCGCGTAAATCTAACTAACCCTGGAGTGGCAGTCAGACTGCTTGCATGTCCTTCTTTTATTCCCGTGTCCCAGCAAGCCACTCAACAATTGTGGCAGATAGAAAATGCATCGTTCTGCTGCTGGAAACATTTGAGCAACAGCTGATAAGGCTTGTCTCAACTTTCTGCCCTCCACTCACGGTGACATGGTTCATTTTAATCCATTGATTTATTTGAAAAGAACATCCGTCCAAAAAGGCAATTGTGCATTTAGCATGAAAATAGTTTTTTAATTTCTTTGTCTAGATTTTTGGCCACAAGCAGTATTCCTAGGCAAAAACCGTTGGTGACACAGCAGGGTGGTTAATAAAGAATGCGTTGTGGCTCCACACTAAGTTCTTCTTTCCTCCTTTTGAATCCATTCAGCTGCAGCTCTGAGCCTCAGTCAGGCTCAGTCCAGTGCCTCCAGTGCCGATTTTCCGTTTTAATTCCTCACATTCCACGGGCAGACGAGAAAACAATGTGATGAACATTTCCCAATGTGTTTCCTATTACATGCCAGGCAGCATCCAACAATGGTGCCTTCACATTTCGAGGTGACACCTCCAGCTGTGAGGCCGAAACCGAGCGCTTTTATCCCGCAGAGTCAGGGACATCTCCCTGCACGGCGTCCAAGGGTGAGACCATATGGTGCATGGGGAATAGAAATCTAATCTAAAAGAAAATGCATTGCCTTTTGCAGAAGTTGCATAAAACTACCATTACAGCAGTGCATTCTCAAATAAGTGAATATAACTTTTTCCAGAAACATTTTCAGAATAGTGAATATTGTTATAATTGGATCAATTAATTAAAACTGCAATTAAACTCCTATTAGACATCTAGCGTATACTTCTATTTAATATGCATAACGCTCTCGATACAAAAAACACCCTAAACTTTGTATACAAAAGACTGAGTAGAATTGTGTTTCAATCATCTTTTGGATCCCAGCAGCCTTTCAATTACCTTTTAGTAATCCCCTCTTTATATTCCTTTCGTGTAAGTATATCCACAGTGAATTGGTCGCTCCAAAAAGCGCAGTAAGGGTCCTTTGCAGCGGCTATAATCCTCAGAGATCCTGCGCTGTGAGAGCATATGTGCAACCCTCTGTCCGCATCCGCGACCGTCCTCACAACTGCGCTCCAGCTAAGCGACCTGTAACTGATTCAATGTTACAGTCCTCCCTCCTCCCTCCGAAAAAAGTAATCATCTGGCTCAAAGTAAATAACTCTCAGGAAATGACACCCCCCTCTCCTCCCTTCGAGCGCTGGACCCCTTTTCAAAGTAAGAGTCTTTTTAGGGGAAACATGCAGACGAATATCCCTGGAGAAAAACAGATTTGCATTTTCATGGAGTTTATAATGAGTGCATTTTTGGAGGACAGAAGTAGATCTGATGTGTTTTTGAGATTGTTATGTTCCATCTGCATAGACTTCACTTTCTGAAATTCTTGTTCTGTGTGTGTATATGGTATAGCAGTCAATTTGACCAAGCATCAAAATATACAATTTTCCACTTTTTACTCATTTTCTGAATAAAGAAGGGCATCTCAGCAAATATACACAGTTATTGTGCAGCAGTCAAACTGGGAACAGTGGAGCGATGAACTCATAGAGGGCGCTCCAACACCACCATATCACAAGCAGCCGCATCAGACCCTCTCTCGCTCTCTCTTTTATACACACACACACACACACACACACACACACACACACACACACTCGGTGTTGTTTTACATTTTAATTATATAAATGACACCATAAGTGTTTTTCTTGTTTTCCACAGAAAATCATTGTGAGTCCTGTTTACTGGCACGCACAAGCGTCAGCTGTCAAGCGAGTTTTTGGGGTTTTACCCCAGCCCCCTAACCCTGGGGCTCTTATGACCGGCAACAGGAGAATAATGGGCCGCAATGAATCACCTATCTCTGGGCACAGACGAGGGGCATCAGACCGGTGTCTCTGCATGGAGCTCAGCCCCGGGGCCGATGAACCCCCCCCCCCACCTCTTTTCCCCCCCAGCTCAATACAGCCGTTTGCCGCAATTACTTCCACATGTTGCCGAAAAGAACTGTGTCCTTGTTCTCAAAACAAAGGATCTCAACTTCGGAAGGTCTAGTTACCTTGAACCGTTTTAGAGGTTGGCACTTTTAGGGTTCTTCTTTTAACACTTTTTTCAAAAAAACCAAAAACAACTTTAAGTTTCATCCAGTTTAATAAGATTCCAGTGGAGGTTAGAGGCTAAACTTGACTACTTTGTTGTTTTGAATAATATCAACATTCTCTGCAATATTTAGGTATTGAGTTATTTTGTTTGCATATATAGTTAACTTCATCTGCATTACTTGCACATGTATCTTCCAGCATTATCTGCACCAATTCTTTCTGATCTATTCTACTCTGTTTCTTCTTGCACTTTTTTGTTTTTGTTTTTGTTTTGTTTTATGTCCCAAATAACTTTGTTGCAATGTTGGAGGAGCTTGGGACTTAAGATTTTCATTGCCATTTTTCTACACTGTAGCTATACTGTGCATATGACATTAAAGCCTTTGAATCATTGAATATCTGCCTTAACAAAAAGTTGTTAAAACAACCAAACACGGTTGAACATAAGTCGTAAACAAGTCCCCATCAGCACTTTCTTTTTCTAGTTATTGCAAATATTCAAAAGTTTGCTGAGTCACAACATGCTTGTGTGTATAAGAAAGTTAGAAGCTTTAATTTATTTATTTCCAAAATAAGGCCCACAATCACGTCTAAGTGCTGTGTGGTTGGCCACTCTCAATTTAAAGTTGGAGCTGGATAGAGGCAAATCTCTCAACAGCTTTAAATCCTCACAGTTTGCACATCAGTGCCCAAAGGGATACTGCCCGTTACCAACATTACTCCTCTTCTTTATGGTGAATTGCCCCCACTGTCCACCAGGGGGATATGAAAAAAATAGCAATTTGTTTTTAAAGTTATTGTACTATAACCTAAGTTCAAAGTGGAATATCAAATAGGAATTACAAATAATTCTCTTTTTTAAATGGAAAACATTTGGCATTTTGGTCTATTACACAATATTTTGGCAAGCTTTCTCCCTGTTTCCAACCAGTCCTTACGTCCATTTAACGCTATAGGAAACTTACGTTTGAGGATTATTTTGAAACGTGTAAATACTAAGCATTGCAAGCTGATCCTGTTCTAGGTTAGTTTATTGTTGTACAAATCGGTATATTAGGTCAAATACCATGATCAATTAATATAGGTCACTGTACGACTTGCACAAGACTTGTGAGAGTACATTCCACCAAACAGACCTGGGAACACGTGAACAGAGCAAAGCTCGTCCTGCGGACTGCGGTCACAGGTAAGATCAGTGTTTGGAGATGATCCACACATTGTCGCTGGCCTTCGGGCGGAGGTCTCTGTGGGAGCTGTCCAGCGTGCTGAAATACGTCTGAAGCGTTGTTGGCATTGTCCACTGTTCAGCCAAACACTCGATTGATCTATTGTATAACTTTCCCATCCTTTTATTTTTCTGCAGCCTTTATTCGCTGGAGCAGTGGATCGAGAGAAGATCTCAAGGCTATACAGGTGAGTTTTTATAATTCAAATAAAAACTATACATCTTCCTTTGAATGAATAAATAAATCATTTCAAACGTATGGATTAAGATGTAATGCATATATGTATACATATTTTAATTTTCACACAATACGGTTGACCAGCCCTTATAACATGTGCACAGCTCTTAGGCTTTCAAATGTGCCTTATAAGTTAAGGAAAGACAATTTACAGAAAAAATACATTTCTCAGTCATTCATTAATAACAAGCACAAGGAACCCAATTGGCTAAACAAATATAAATAAATAAAACTGAATGGTAAATGGTATTCCCGATGCTGCCTCTTCCTGTGTTAAAGCCAAATCTATTTGACTTGAAATAATAAAGCTAGAGGTTAACCCTTCAACGATAACAGGATGTTGCAAATGACATGCCTCTCAAACATAATTTGCATAATACCAAGAGACAACTTTTCATGCATTTTTTTTATGTCGTTTGGTGTCCAGCGTTGTGGGACCTGTTGGGTTTTGGCTCTGTATATAACTGTTATACAACTATGATGATTTCCACGATGAAAACAAAAACAATTATCGTCCTTTTCGAGATCTCTTCACTCTCCACTCTGACTTAAAATGAAAAGTTAAGGCTGCATTTATTGTGGATTATATTGCACAGATTAATTAAACAGTGGACGTTTCTTCTGGAAAAGACAACGCTGCTCTCTTATTTTCCACACCGGCACTTCAGCTTCTTCTAGCCTCCATCTCTCCGCATGAGACAGCAGCTGCAACCGGCTGAAAAGCGCTCTTATTAATTGTCTTTTGTCATGCGTAATTGCCACACTTTCAATGGTGGCCGAGGCCTGACGTCTTTGGAGTGGTCTCGTTACTCTGGGCAGTGGTAGGTGTTTGACGCTTTCATCTGAAATTTAGGCTGCAATCTGCACACGCAGTTTTGCAACCTTTTTAGACATTTGTTTGATAAGTCTGATAAGAAGTTTTAGGGAGTGTAGCAGTTTATGGACAGATATCTTAATGACCTGGACTAATGGATCTCAAAATGAGCTTCAGGCCATTGTGGGGGCCTGCAGTCTGAGGTCACGTCCTGTGGGGCTGAGGAGGGGGGAGTCTTTCTCAAAACTGCGGTTATTCCATTGTGAATCGCTTTAAATGGTGCATTGGTCTTTCACACCTGCAAGGGAACTCTAATTCGATTAATAGGAACTTCAATATTCATTAGGTGGCTTTCCCCCAATAATATATGATCACCAGCGGGATGTGAAAGGGGACCATTTATTCCCGCTCTGAATGGGTCTGCGTGGGACCAAGACTTCACCTGCTTCCCCTCTCAATTAGGAATGTATCCCAAACTCTGACAGAAACGAGTTAAATTAGGCGTCAGCTAATTTCCAGTGGCCCCTCCCACGTAATCCCCCCTCAGAGTCTTTCCATTTGAGCGTGCCCCCTTTAATTCACCATAAATTGAAAGGTTCAAATAGTGCCTAATGAAACAGTGACTAAATCGTTCTCTGTCGCTCGGAGGAACCCTGTAGCTGTCTCTCAAAGCTCTCTGAGCACACAGCCGTCGGGGGTCTCCGACTAAATGCGAGTCCCAAGGCAGGACAATCTAACCTGTCAAAGCCTTTGCCCACTTCTATATATCCTTGTTCTGTGGTTTCAAGCAATAGCAGCATAATCAACCAACGTGGGACCGAAAACGCAATTAAACTCGCTTTGGACGACCGAAATCTTTTCAAAAGTGAACATTAATGGACTATTGGCTGCTCTCCAGGGGCGTTATCGGTTACCCTTTTGTGGTCGGTCTAAGGAGAAATTACACTTTCATACCTTACTACATCGACTTTGAATTACATATATTATATGGTCATATATGAATGGAGCTTTATGTTTAAAAAAAAAAAAAAAAACTCTATTAACATTGACAGTCTAGTAAAATAGAAACGAAAGCGTGATGACAGCTTAATAACAATGGCTTTCGATCGATAGAAAAGACGTTGGAAAGGTTTGATAATTAAAGGTAACTGCACTTGTTAATGTGCACTTGTGAAAAATTCCTCAATAGAAACGATGTATAATGTAGGCCTATTGAAATCGTCAAGAGAACTATACTTCTGTGAGTGTTTGTCGAGACTGTCACAGGAATTGATCTAACTTTTGAAGTTAGTTGTGCTGGATTGCTTTATATTGATAGGGGTTTTAAATATTTTGTTTTCACCCATCTATTCTCCTATTTTAAGTAGTTTTAAATTACAATTGTGTATGGGATACTTTTTTGTTATCACTACAGGGCTATTCCTAAATGGTACATGTGCTATGAAAAAGAAAATTCATAATAATAATAATAATTCATCTACTCATCTAAGCAGAGTATTTATGTTAAATGTAACCATGAAGGACATTTTTATATTGCGTATTAAGTTGATGTTCCTCAATATTCATTTGTCAATTATTTTCTTTTCCAATTATTTTTTATATTATCCAACAAATATTTGCAGGATGATATCCCGTTATTTTTATAACCGAACTCATTATTGATCATAATAATCAGCACAGAACTTAGGTCAACTCATGTTTATTACAATAAATACTCATATACATAGTTTACAAATAGTTGCGTACAGGTTCCACAGAGGTTAGGCCTATACTATTAACCACACAACCTCACCGACAGAAATGGGATATCAGGCAATAGTTAAAAACATTTGGATGGTTGACTATACCCGGGTTAGAATCCAGAATGGATCAAAATACATCATTATTACGGCATACATCAGGTCATGTTTTCCAATATTTCACGGCAGTGTTAAAACACGTATTCACATTTTTCCTTCAATTTTAAAGGGGAATAAACATGAAGTGAAGAACAACTGACATTTTTAACACTTCTTAGTTTTCATGCAGGATATTTTTGTCATGATGCCGTTAACCATAACTGCAGCAGGGCAGAGTAAGTGCCAGCAGTGGGAATTGGAGAGTTGTTATCAGATGGGTGACACCTCTTTCTCTTCTGAAGCAGAGGCCGGAGATAGAGACTCCTCATCCTCTGACCTTGAATAGTCTGTGTGACCGGTTGTGCACTTGCACCCGCTGTGTGCGCTCCTTTGGGTGGCTTTCCCCTCCTTCTTGTGCTTCACTCTGCGGTTCTGAAACCAGATTTTCACCTGTTTCTCTGACAGGTTCAAATACGTGGCGATTTCGATTCTTCTGAGTCTCGAAAGATACATGTTCGTGGAAAACTCCCTTTCAAGTTCCAGGAGTTGCGTGCTTGTGAAAGCCGTGCGCATCCTCTTGCCATTCTGTATGTGGCTGTTGTCTGAGGCGCCTGAGGAAGAAAGAATACATCATGTTAGACGTTTGAATTTTAAGTATCACTACAAGTCTAAATTCAATTATAGGTGCGAATGGCACGAAACATCACGTGTAAATCATTGTGCGTAAAAGCCGAGCGTTTACTTTCATCTAACTGCCTTTAAGTGCACCATGAAGTGTAGCAATATTATCAGACAGGTGCCGAGAGTGTAGCAAACAGGTGGCTTACCGATAGACAGGCAGTGGTATCTCCTGGGATCTGTGACGCTGAAGGTGGGCGTGCAGACAGGTGTATGTCCCGGGTGCGCGAGGGCAGCAGACTGCTGGTGCGCTATCCTCTGACAGTACTGCGCCTCCGCTCCTGGAAACTGACTCTTCAGCATGGGAATGCCGCTGCGGGAATGGTGGATGTGGGACGACACGCACAGCGGGCAAACACAAAAAGTCCCTGTTTTCCTGGACGGGCACATCGGAGCGGTGACCGTCATCATGCCCGGAGAGTGCATGCTGATGGGAATAAGGAAGTCTTGCCCGGGATGCTCAATTGGTCCAGGTCGAACCGTATCCTTGATTATTAAAGAATCGACATAAAAAGACCTCGACATGGCTGCGTTGCTGATAAGTGATCTCCCCGTGTACAAGATGATAGCTGTTTCTCATCTGAACCCCTCGGGATCTCCAAAGGTGCTTATGTTTGATGGTTCAACAAAAGGGATCCCGAAGAGGGTTGGCCCTGCAGCGTCACCCACGTGCGCACCCGGCTCCAAGGGTTTATACTGTCAGCGACCCAAACCACGTGATGTCTCCCCTGGCCTCCAATCACAACTTGCAGATTTACTCTTTCTATCCCCAAATTAACAATAGTATTAGAATTATTAGACAAATAATAAAAGGAACATTATAAAATAGTTATTTATGTATTTTCTTATGAACACAGCTTTCTTCATAGTCCAAACCATATAATAACTAAACTTTCATTTTGTAAAAATTGTAACAAAAAAGCTTCCTAAATGTCTTTTTACAACCATGCAGCTGAAAAATATGGTTATAGTGTGAAACGCGGATTAAAAATACCTTAAGAATCTGGTCATATAAATTCTAAAATGTAATTATACATCCTTTAAAAATAAAAACTCTGATCACTTCAAAAACATTTATTGAATACATTTAATGGAACAGCTGAAAGAAGAATGCAGTTGAGCAGGAGCAATGGAAACAGAAATATAAATATTCACCCTCCTCTGTGTTTTGTATACTTTATTATAAGAGAATAATCACTTCTTAAGTTTCCTGAGGGTGATTTGATAAATGTTTATTTTTTCTATATCCATAATGTGCTTATATAATAACGTGCTCCATTCTGGCATGTGGAGCAGAGCTTTATGATGGATTCTACCCAGACTTATTTTTGTTACATAGTCAATTTATTTTTCCCAAATGCGATTTTAAAGAATTTTGCACGCGCTTATAACCACTAATTGCTCTGCAAACTAATCATAGGCTACTTTGGGTTCGGCTGGTCCAGGTTTCACTTCCAGCAATTAAAGAATTATGAACTGATGGCGAGTCTGGACTGTGGTTATTTGATGGCGATTAGGATTCAATTAGAAAGTGTTTATAATGGTCGGTCTGTGCAGGGGTAAACAGGCAGCTATTTCAGAAATGCGTTAATCCCTCATCTTGTGACAATAATTAGCGAGTTTGATCCCCAGGCGGGTCACCGGTAGGTTTAGCTTCTGCTTTCATCTGCCAAGTAACGCCTCAAACCTTCAGACAGAGGTCCGGCAGTAGGTTTATGGCGCAGACGGCCAGGTCCAACACAACATGTGTTAGTTTCTGCTCTGACCTCAGGAAGAAACACATGTATTAGACAAACACAAGTGTAATAGGCCTGTTGTGGATCCCAACTTTGATAAGTCAGTTTTTGTTTATTTTACACCTAATTTTCCTATTTTCCCCCTTATTTTGGAGCAAATACATGATTATAGCAAACTGAAGCACTTACTGAAGTGTGAGTTAAAATGCAGTCTTTTGAAAGAATTAGAAAGTCTTTAAAATCCAACCAGGGTAATGATAAAAAACAAACATGTCTGTCACACAGACAGTAATTGCTATAATAAAGTGAATCCTGCGCTTGACAAGGAAGACGCAGAGTTGTTATGGTACAGATAACAGTCTGAAACAAGAGAGGGAGAGGGAGCGAGTAAACCAAGCGGAATGATGCGTGGCGCGCGCCCTCAACAGACCATGCGAGCTCTAATATTATTTTCCATAATTCTGCACGATAAAATTTCATTGTCTATTAAGTAATCCCACAAATGAGATCCTTTATGAGGCTATAATGAGGCCTAATTGCCAGGACTAGTGGAGCCACGTGGAAGGATTTAGGAAGCATTAAGCTGTCGGGTACTGAGCACAGGCTGTTACCTAGCCATTACTTTCATAATTCAAGGAGAAAATTAGTCCATTTAAGGGAAAAATCCTTTGATTCCCTTTATTCTGCTCGGGGTGACAGGGCTGCAGTTTTTTTGTCCGCTTTGGTTAAGAAGCCAGTGCAACAAATGGGGCTGGTTCTATATCACTCACTGTTTAAATGCTAGATTAAGGGGAAAAAAGAATTTCAGAAATGTGTAAAGCTCTCAGGGCCCCACCTCTTACTTTCTCCTCTTCTTTCTCTCTAAAAGTTGTGTGCCTTTTACTTTATAGTGCAGCGGTTACCCTCCACTGTTCACTCCCTTTTCAAATCTAATGATGGGCAATTAATCACTGGCCCATTGAATAACATGAAACTTAAATTTAAATTAGAGAAAAAAAAGTGTATTCTCTTTATAGATTCTTAGTGTAAGTTTATTATCCTCTGTGGAAAACAGTAGTTCTAGTACGCAAGTGCATCAAAGCGGTTCAAAAAGGTGTGTGTGTGTGTGTATCCAGCTCCTCCCCGTAGTAAAAACACACAAACTTTGTAAAAGTGCACCGCTGAAGTTCCCCCCCTCTCATTCACATCGCATCCCATGCCATATTATACCGTGAAGAAGTCCATTAATGTTTTGTTGAACAAGCGTCATTAACTTGTTTCAACGCCTTTTTACAAACCTTGCATTGTTGTGCAGGGCCAGTCTGCGGCCCATCTTGGCCGATACAGTGGATGATTTGCCCCTTTATTAGTTACCAGGCAACAGATCCTGAATACCAAAACTCAAAGGAAACACTCTGGTCCTCCATATAGATCTCAATGGCGTAGGGGGGGAAATGAACAATGATCCTGTGGACAACATAATGCCACGCAATGACTTTTCATTAACAATTATCTGCTTGATGTGAATAGCAGCTGCAGTGGCTACTCTCCATCTCATGGTCTGCAGAGAAAAGGGGCGCGGCGAGAGAAAGAAGCTGGCCGCTGAATGGCATCCTGCAGGAGTTTAGGGGGTTCCTGCTCTCCATGAATGTGGAATCTAATTTATATCTCAGTGAATAATTAGGTTTCTATGCAAAAATGAGATGGAGGTAATTGCATTTTAAAACACCGTGACAAGTTAGCCGCATAAACAAAGAGAAGCAGTCTCTCTTAATGTCTCACAACAGGAGGTCAACGTCAATAAGCTTATGTTTAAGTTTTAGTGCAAAAATGGAGTAGGACACATTCTCTCTTCAATATAAAGATTGTTATGTTGCAGATATATCTTCGCAAATGTCCACAAACGGTTACTGTGATTGGGAACACTGTTAGAGAGCATGGCCCTCTCCTATAGAAAAGTAAAGTGACAGCTTCAGTGTAAGAAGAGGCTGCGGAACAAAGCCAGCGAGGGCCCTGTTGATGGCCTATAGAGATGTCCTGCACCAGGCACCCTCTAATTAGGGAGACGCTTCTCAGTCTCACAGAGCTGCTCAGACCAGACACTCCAGACTGAAGTGTGCCCCTGCGCCAACGAGTGTGTCTGGATGTCCACACTCAGCGCTGCATGTGTATGTGTCTGCGTGTCAAGGCGCACACAATTAACGAGCCTCGAAAATGAGATAAACACCGACTGATAGTGACGCCGATCACGGTTAAGTTCCCAGAGAAACGTCGTTATTAAAGCTCGTTGTTCGAGCCCTGATTTGTCCCTGTTGTTTCCAAAAGACTAAGCAAATGCCATTACAGAGACAGCACAGAGCAGCCCTTATTTCAATCTTTTCTTGCTTGAGTTGTCAAATAGTCCTGAAATTCAATCCTCTTTGTGATATGAAGCTATTCCGTTGTTGGTCACTTTGTAGTGCAAGTTCTCGCTGTAAGGACTCGCTGCATGCTCGCTAGTTATCTGTAAGGACTCATTATTCTGCTCCTCGCTGGTTTCCACAAAGAGCAAGATGCTGTTTTATCTAAGTTAATGATTAGCTTGTTATCCTTTCGAATGTAGCCCGAGACATGCTCATCTACACAGAAAATATCAACCATGGACACGAATAAACTGAAATTCCCAAATGAAACAGCTGTGTTTTAGATGGAGACCAATCACCTCCTCTCTGAACGGCCTCAACCAAACCTGAAAGGTTCTCACCCCTCCTCTCCTCACAACCTGACTTCCCCTGAAACCTAAATCAGGAAATGTTTCAAAGAAGTGAATGACAGGAGTCCCTCCACCCGGTTACCCCGGCCAGTCTCTCCCTCAATCTAAAAGAGGTGATATTGTAGCCCTTTTTCTCCCTTTTGAAAGGGGAAATCCCAGGGATTGAGCTTGTGTGCTGGAGCGGAAGCAGGCTGGAATGTGTGTCCGGGCCGCATCTTTTGTCGTCAGCCGGCACCATGAATAGACATGGGTCGCAATCTCTCTGTCCTCTGTTTATCAGACTGTGAAGAAGCAAACAAACCAAACTGTTTCATCCACACGTTATCGGCACCTTATACCTGTCAATCAAGCTTTTTATTCATCTCTCTCTGAGGGGATGTTTGAGCTTTTGCCTATAAAAGCCTCCACTGATTTACATCTATAATCCCATCAGCACGTAGCAAATAAATCCAGGAACCTGCAGCTTTTTGGTTTTAATTGGCATCCTATTCACTGTACTGCTGTTTTTAAATAATCCTCCCTAAATTTAGCAACTTCAAGAATGTCAGCCGGACCTTTTCTTTTAGATAAATAATATTTCTGTTTTCCTATGCATTCTTTCTTCAGATTTAATATTGATTTGTGAAAGTGTCATGTTGAGTAGAGTTTGTCATTATGGTGATTTTCATTGCAGCTTGTTAGTGTCTCTCTGGCAGCTTGTCGCTCTAAACTAATCCCAGTGTTCCCTTCGCTTGAGGTCAAAAAGAGGTTTTCAAACAAATGGGAAAGCTTTCACGTTTCTTTATTGAGATGAAGGCCGCATTTTCCCATCATTATTACGTATATAATGTGATTTATTGGAAGATATTCAGAAGTTGAAAGGAAAGTAGAGAGTGAGCTGTCAGGATGCAGCACTCTGAGACTCTGAAGTCTCATTTCCACAATGAAGACAGCATCGATGTGATTTTCCTCCATTTTAGTTTCATCATTGTACAGCTGTTGGCATTTCAGTTATTTATATTCATTGGACTGTTTTGCATAGACACAACCATGTTATTGAAACCCTCCATGTTTTACAC